CCCAAGGATAACCAAGGTTAGGTAGCCATTATGAATCTAGGGTCCACCCATCCTGTCATATGTATAACCCTAGACCTTCCCATTCCTATGGGCATACCCCTAGCTCATCCCCTTCTTGTTACGCTTATGCCTAGCATAGATCCCCTTATTACAATGTGTATGCCTATTGTACAACCCCTTCCTGTGACATGTCTTCGCCTGTAATTAGGTGGCTTACACGTCCCCAGAGGGGATAAAAGCTTGGGAAGCATTAAAGCTCTCTCTCTCTCTCTCTCTCTTTCCCTCCACGCAGACCACCAAGCGGGGCTGAGGTGAGCAATGCTACCATGAACTGTGTCTGACTCCATTACTTGACTCCATCTTTTAACTCTCATGCTATGACTTTACTATAATCTTTACTTATTATTGCTGTGCAATTGCGCCTATCGGACCTGTAATGATTTGTGGGGTCTTCTCTTCCCTTTAACCCCACATGGTAGTGACATAATCTGGTATCAACTTGGGACTTGAGAGAATTAGGAATGAAGGGGTGGAGTCTAGTCTGTCAATGGGATCATAGCCAATGAGGCCTCTGTGTGGGCATGTCCTTTTCCTGTGAATTCTGGAAATTCCTGAATTTCCTCTTTGGAGGCAGGAGACTCTCTCTCTCTGCTACTCCCTTGGAGACACTCTACTGACAAGACATATGGTGCTACGCCCTGGGAGCTGGAGGAGCCACATGAACCTACCTTGATGCAGACAGACCCCTGAAAATTAGAGAAGTCATGTGGAGACCCTTGTCAGCACTGAGATGCTTAGACCACCACTGGATCCACAAGACTTCCCACCCACTAGCCTGTGATCACCCTGCATTTGGCGTCATTGCATGTGTTTCGTGAGTCTGAAGAGAATTTTATAGATCGTATCAGACATATAGGCTAATATCAGTCTTATGGCCTTGGACTGGCCTGAGTTGGGATGTTTTCTCAATGTTCAATTCCTCTTGTATATAAACCTCTACCTTATATACATATACGTGTTTATTAATTTGTTTCTCTAGTCTACCCAGACTAACACACCCTTGGTCAATAAATCCTCTCGATTTTTTTTACCCCTCCTTTTTTTTCCCTTTAAAAATGTTACCTTCTTACTGATTCTCAAATTTATTCCTGTTTCTCCAGTTTGACTGCCAACGATGCCTCCAAAACTCCTTTGATTTCTTTAGGCTGGGCTGGCTGTCATCCACCTGTCCGACTACTGCATTTGGTGCATAACTTTATCAAGGGACTTAGCACATTCACATAGCATTGGAATCATATTCACTCACATCTTTTCCATTCAAACATGAAGCTCTTAAAGGCAATAAAGGTTCTTATAAATTCAGGGCCTAGAGAGGGTCTGGCATATGGTATGCATAACTCATGAGTATCAAGTTGATTCCAATTCATAGCAACCCTGTAGGACACAGTTGAACTCCCCATAGGCTTTCTAAGGCTATAAATCTTTATACAAGCAGATTACCACATCTTTCTCCTGCAGGGCAACTGGTGTCTTTGAACCATCAATTTTTCAGTTATTAACTTAGTGCTTAATCACTGCATCACCAGGGCTCCTGGCATATGAATATAGTAAAACTTAATAAATGTTTGGTGAAGGCAAATAACCATGGCATTCATGTTAGACAGGTTCTCTAGAGAAACAAAACCAGGACATATATGATTTTATATATACATATAAAACACAAAGAAATAAACAGTTAATTAGTCCACAGAGCAGTACAGAGGGCTCAGTACAACTCATTTCCATGAGACAATTAATATACTGGCAGTCCTTCAACTCATGAGGGCTGCTGGGTGCAAGTCAAGGAAGCAAACAACTGAATCTTCTACAAAGCAATACAGGCAATCCAGCCACAGGCAGCAAACAGCAAAGCGGGTCACCAATAGCCAGATGACAGGGTCTGACAGTCCCCAGCTCAAGTGATGTATGTACCAGCAATGTGGTGAAGCAGGTCTCGAAGGAACCTCAAATGATAGCGACATGATTCATGGGTTGGGTGTCCCATAGGTAGTGTAGCTCACAAGTTGAGGCAGAGAACTAGCTAAGGTAGCTGCATACTGGTCCGATCATCAGAGAGCAAGAGAAAGAAAGGTGAGGCTTGCCGAGCCATTTATCTCTTTGCCCGTCAATTAAACTGTGACCTTTTTAATCCCACATGTGTTTATTGGCCAGGTTGGCACAATAAACCTACCTATCACAGCATTGTTTAGCCCTAGTGACAAAAATAAATGCCACATTTACTACATCTTTCTATATACCAGACAAGGGGTCTTGATTGCATTGTTGGGTAAATGTTTGACTGGTAACCTCAAGGTTGGTGGTTCAAATCCACCATAAGAGGAAGGTAAAGCTATCTTCTCCCTCAAGATTTACAGCTCCGAAACCCTCTATGTTATAGAGTCTATAGGGTTGTTGTGAGTGGGAATGAGCTGGATGGCAGTGAGTTTGGGCTTCTTTGTATCAGGCACTGAATAAAATGATGAGAAACAGTTTCTCTCAGGAGGAGCTCAGAATAACATCAAGGGTCATATAATGAAGAGAACTATTTGATTGTGACTTTGGGACAAGTCTCTAATATCTGAGTCTCACTTTTTTATTTGTAAAATGAGGTTTATATCAGGGATTGTAACCCTTGCAAAATAGGCTATAGTGCAATATAGCGTACTCTTACAAATTCTCTGAAGGATTAAACTGTTCTCTTGTTTCCTTACACGTGAGGAGAGTGAGACTTCTGTACTTTGGACATGTTATCAGGAGAGACCAGTCCTTGGCAAAGGATATCATGCAGTGTAAAGTAGAGGGTCAGAGGAGAGGAAAGTTTTGAGGTTACAAAAGAGACCCTAATGCAAATATAAAGAGAACATTAAGTCTTAAAAGAGACAAAGACAACACAAAGACACAAACATATCATCTGGATGCAGGAGGTCAATGGTACAAGTCAAAATGAGGTCCTATGACTCACAGTTTCAAAACCAGATAAACAGGGCATGGAACAAAGGGAACTGTCACAAATTCATGATTGGTGACAGATCTATACATCACAGTACAGGTGGGACCACAGAAGCAGGAACAGGACCGTGATTGGGACAGGAACATAGATAGAAGAGTTTACAAGATTGTCCCGGGGACTACCAACCAAGGCAGTCAGGGTGAAACTCATTAGGCATGACTCATGACTATGTGGTCCCCTGAACTGTCCCCTGTACTGTGACTTCCATCAAGAACACACTCAGGCAAGCCAGCCCCTAAGAGAGAGACTGCCCCTCCCTGGGCTGGCTGGAGAAGGGTAGAGGAAATCTATTTTCAAAGTACTCTGCCTCAGGGCAAGATTATCTATATCTTTGGTTAATGAGCAATGGAAGTCTAATCTATGTGAATTCTCTGCAAATGGATTTTGGGATGTCACTGCCATTTCTAGCCTTCTGCAAACAGGGGGGCTCAGAATTTAAGCTCTAAAAAGAACATAAGGACTGCAACAGTGGGCTCAAACACAGCAACTGTGAGGGTACCTCAGGATCGGTTAGGCAGTGTTTCATTCTGCTGTACGAAGGGTCACCACGAGTTGAGTGGGAAGACGCTTGAGGACACTGAAGGACACTAACAACAGGGTTGCTGTGAGTTGGAATCAACTCGATGGCAGTGAGTTTAGAGACTAGTTTAGGTAGGCATAGTTAGTATAATGAAGCATAAAAGTAACTATAATGAACAGGGAAAGTAGCCATTAGGTGTCTTAAGAGCCATTAGGTGTCTTAAGAGATCAGTAGAAAATGGGAACGAATCCAGAATGGCTTCAAGGCCTTCCTTAGAAATCCTTAACTCAAACCAAACCCACTGCTACTGAGTGGATTCTGAATCATAGCAACCCTGATGGAGACTGTAAATCGTTATGGGACAGACTGATCTTTCTCTCAGGGAGCAGCTTGTGGGTTCGAAAGGTGACCTTGTGGTTAGCAGCCCAATGACTAACCCGCAGCGTCAAGGTCCCTCTCTCCTCACTCACTGCCCTTGAATCGAGGTGGACTCATAGAGACTTAAGAGCCTTAGAAATAAAAAACCCTGGACCTGGAGTCAAAAGCTCAAATTCGACACCGGTTGGGCGGCCTATCATTATCACCTGGGATAGATCAACGACAAACATTGGCCAGGGCCCACCCCAAACGAATCAGAATTATCTAGGAATGGGTCCCCAGCATCAGGGAGGGCTTTACACTTCCTCGGAGGGTAATTCTAGTGAACAGCTAGGATTAGGGCCGCTGCAATTCTAAATGAACGACGAAGGTAACGCTAAAAACAAAACAAACCCAATACTGTGGGCAGATAATCGTAAACTACTGGCCACATTGGGCATCAGAGGCTTTCTTGCGGTTCCATCTCTGACTTGAAGAAATAAAACTGATAGAGCAATCAACAATTTGCCCGAGATTATACAAGTCAGGGTAGAGCGGGCCCTAAAACCCAGTCCTTTTTGAATTTCAAGGAGCCCTGGTGGTTTAATGGGTTACAATTTGGGCTCGGAACGCCAAGAGGAGCAGCGCAAACCCACCAACCTCCCTGGGAGTCAGAGGAGGTTGCACATTCGCATAAAGATTTACAGTCGCGGACGCCCAGGGGCACAGAGCCAGAATCCACTCGACGGCACTTAAGAAAAAAAGAGTTCGGTTAAAGTACTGTAAGCGAGCAAAAGCAAAACCCACTTTCAAAACCAGGGACCCAGGATGACTTGGCGGGCGGGGCTCGTAGAGAGCGACGCGAGCTCACCACGCCTGCGCCTTCCACAGGCGGGCCTGCACGTGGAGGGGGCGTGTCACGGCGACGAACGACGGCTTTCACGACTCCTGCCGTAAAGGTTGCGGGTGGCGCCTGCGCACTTTCTTTCCTGTTTGGCTTCCCGACGCTCTCGCCGCGCGTCTTTGCCGGCTCTCAGTCCTGTCGCTATGGTGAAGCTGAGCAAGGAGGCCAAGCAAAGGCTGCAGCAGCTCTTCAAGGGCGGCCAGTTTGCCATCCGCTGGGGCTTCATCCCGCTCGTGATTTACCTGGGTTAGTGCACGCGGAACGCGGGGGAAGGCCGAAGGGAAGGGAGTGTGGTGGGCTGCCACTCGGGCTTGGCTTTCGGGCCTGGGCGCGGGCGAGCGGGGAGCCCTCCAGGCAGGGCCGCCGAGCGTAGTCCGAGCGGCTCTGCCATCCCTGACTGGACGAATTGCGGCAAGTCGGTTGAGACTCAGAGTGGCCTTGTTTGTGCCAGAGTAGGATTTTATGCTCCATGGTCTTTTCACTGGCTAGTTTTTTGGAAGTAGGTTGACAGGCAGTTCTTCCCGCCCTTACTAGCTGGGTGATGTTTAAATCCTGTAAGCCCTCCTGTACTGTTTTTACCTTTTGAGGGTGATACTTTCCAGGTACTTGTCCCTCCAGGTAACATGCCCAAAGTAGGCGAGAGCAAAGTCTCACCCTCTTGGCTTCTAAGGAGCGTTCTGACAGACATTCCAAGACAGTGGTTCAATCTTTAGACAGCCCTTGGTATACCTAACAGACTTTGCCAACACAATGCAACTGTACAGTTGTTCCGTTTTTCATAGTCACCTGTTCAGCGTTCCCATGCATATACCAGAAGCCAAATTCACTGCCAATCAAGTCGATTCTGACTAACTAGCCACCCTATAGGACAGGGTAGACCTGTCCCTGTGGGTTTCTGAGACGAAATATTTACAGGAGTAGAAAGCCGCCTCTTTCTCCTCATCATGGGCATGGTATCTCTGAAAGTCGTTCACTGATGGGCATTAGGTAGATTTTCAGAGCTTTTCTCCTCAGCTCTAGGTGGCCTAAGTAAATAAAGAGGCCTGTGCTGGGAATCCGGATTCCTTGAAAAGATTCCACTGCCATGAAATATCATGACAGTAGACACAGGATGTCTGTTTTCTTACCTACGGAATAAGGGGTTTGGGTGATTTTTATCACTGAACCCATGTTACAGGTGAGGAAACTGAATTATAGAGTCTGGTACACCTGCTCAAGGCCACTCATGTGAATGGGGGGCCAGTGCTCAGGCAGTGGTGCTTCAGGATCCATCTTTACAATCATTACACTGTACTGCAAGTACTTGGGTTAAAACACGTTTTCTCCTAGGGCTACAGTCTGGGGCTTTATCCTTTGTAGTTTTTGCTGCTGCTGTTAGGTGACATCCAGTTGGCCCTGACTGGTGCGTAACAGAATGAAACCCCTGTACCCTCCCTTCATTTGTTTTGTGTGAGCCCATTGTTTGCAGCCACTTTGTCACTCCGTCTTGTAGACGGTCTTCCTCTTTTTTGATGACCCTCCGTTTTACCCAGCACGGTGCCCTTTTCTCATTTCAATTTCGTTTACTCTCTTGGTAACATGTCCAATGTAAGCCCTCACTTCGAAGGCGTGTTCTGACAGATGTGTCTGCTCTGGCAAGCGATGGTATTTTCAATAATCTTCCCCAGCACCGTAATTCGAATACATCAATTCTTTTTTTCTAGGCTTTTGTATTCGTTGTCCTGCTTACACATGCATATGAGGTGATTGAAAGCACAGGGGCTTGGGTCCGGCACACCGTAGTCCTCAGAATGCCATCTTTGCTCTTTAACCCTTTAAGTAGGTCATGTACGGCATATACCTCCGTGCAGTACATCATTTGATATCTGGACGGTTGCTTCCATGGGTTGATTGTGAACCCAGGCAAAGTGAGATCTTTTGACAGCATCATCTCAGAGCATAGGGTTTTGGTCACCGTAGTGTTCAAGCCATCAATATCTTGAGATGGTCTTGTAAGTTAAGGTGGAATGTACTCAAGGCTGTATTTCAGCGCTTGTGGGTTTTTAAAAAATTCTCTTCAGCTGCAACCTGAACTTACATATGAGGAACTGATGGCCTGTTCTGCCCCGTAGTCTGCCCCGGCCTCATTTTAACTGGTGATTGTCCATCCCCACAGGTAGTCAATTCCTGTGTAGTCTACCTGGAAAGGTCTACATGTGTAGACACCGTTTTTGTTGTTTGGAAAAGGTGGTTTGCAATGAAGAAGTCATTGGTCATGCAGAATCCTGTCATACAGTCTTCAGCTTCATTTCAATCACCCTGGCCGTGTTTTCCAATAACTCATCCTTCTTCTACGTTTCCAACTTTCCCATGCCAGTCACCAGTAATTATCAATGTATGGTTGATGAATTGTAGACTGAAGATGATGGTAGAGTTCTTTCTTCATCACTGGCTCTAGTGATTGGTCTGTAAATTTGTATATTATTTCTATTACTTTGTCTTCCTTGTAGGCTTATGGATATTATCCAGTCACACCAAGCCTTGCACTTCAAGATCTTGAAATGTTCTTTTTGATGATGAAGGTGATGCCATCCCTCTTGACTTTGTCATTCCTGGCATAGTAACGAGGAGCCCTAGTGTCGTAGTGGGTACACATTGGGCTGTTAACCGCAGGGTCATCAGAAAGACAGGGCTTCCTACTCCTGTAAAAAAGAGTCTTGGAAATACACAGGGGAAGTTCTACCTGTCTTATAAGGTTACTGTGAGTTGGCATTTACTTGATGGCAGTGTTTGTTTTTATTGGATTGGCACTGTAATCCACTTATTGTCTGATTAATGGCTGATACTAGTCCATTTCAGCTCATAAATGCTTAGGATATTGAGCTGTATGCATTTCATTTAATATTTGATAATTTCCAACTTTCCTAAATTCCTAATTTATACAGTCCATGATGAGATCATTCAGAGATGTTTGCAGCTGTTTTTGCCTCATCTTGAGTCGTCCCACATCAGCAAGTGAAGGTCTTGACAGCTTTGCTCCATCCACATTATAAGTCTACTTTGGGGAAGCAGCTCTTCCGCACTCATTTTGAGTCCTTTCCAGTAGTAGACCTGACAGTGTTCTGCTGCTGTCCGTATGGTTTTCAGGGGCTAAGTCCTCAGAAGTGGACAGCCTATTCCTTCTTCCTAGTCTGCTCTTAATTTAGAACCTCTACTGAAACCTGTTCACTTTTGGTGACCTTGCTGGTATTTGAAATTCTGGTGGCATAGCTTCCAATACCACCGTAGCATGCAAGTCACTACAGTGGGACAGACTGACAGACAAGTGTGGGTAGTTTACCCTAGGGTAGATGTTTCTTCTTAAACTAATTGCCTTTATTCAGCCAGTGTGGTAGGAGGGAAACTGCCTAGGTTTTAGTCTCAGATCTGTCAACAGGAGCATGCTGTTTGACCTTTCTCAAACTCAGTGCTACAGGGCAGAAGTCTCTTAGCCTAACAAGGCGCTGCTTCGACTTGGTTGCGGTGTCGCGTCTTAATAACAGTACACTTCGTCTTCACAGAGCCTTTGATTATGCCACACATTCTCGAGCCAGCTGCATTCTCACGTCCCACAAATTGCAAGCAACTGCAGTAATTGAGTCCTTCAGTATATAAAAAGCTTAAAAGGATTTTTCCCACTTACTTATTGTGAAGGCAGTTCTTATTACTTTCCCAGACTTTAGGCCTCTATATAGGAATCAAGGAGTAGAGCAAATAATTCTGACATCCTGATTTTAAAAGTTGTGTGTGTGTTGTGTGTCTTTTCTGCTCCAGCTTCGATTTAGTGATGAAAGGGCCCAACTTAGCTGGTCTAACACATGGTCTAGCTTTCCTTTTAACACCGCCGGCCCCCCCCCCCCAAAAAAAAAAAAAAAGGAGTTAAAGGTATGAGAACCTTGATCTGTCCTCTTACCTGTGCTGCCTTTGTGTCCTCTGGTGCATAGCGGGCCTAGTGGTAGCCTGCTCCTAACTTTCTTGGTCTTTGCTTTCTTGGCTACTTTAAGCCTTCCTCTTTTACTTTTCATCCCCTCTTTTGAGATTTATTTTGTTCCTGCCAGAAAGCTGTAGCTGATGGCTGCAATTTCTGTACCAAAGGCCTTAGTGTGAAGAGTAGGCAGTGTTTTCTGTATTTTTCCTTGTATGAATACTGACTATCTTCTCTGTCCCAGGACTCCCACTGCGGCAGTTGACCTCGTGGTGTTCATGTAGGTTATTTGAGACTGATGTTACGACTCTTTTTCTAGTACCTGCTCATTAGCCCTTGTCTCTTAGACTGTCTGTAAAATTAGCTTATTTAATCCAGTTTCCAGGTTGTTTCTTTTATTTCCTTTACCTCTGGGCCTAAAAGCTATAACTGCCATTCGAGCTCCTCGTGTAATTTCGGTTTAAACCTACCTTTGGGGACCTCGGAGTGTCGTGCTATCAAGTGGGACACACAGTGACATGATGATAAAGAATTTCTCTGGACATTTATCAGCCAAAAGGTTTTAATGAGCCAACTCCTGGGATACGATTCTTCACGGTCTCTTGCATTTTAACAGCCGTTGTGGGCATAATACCTTTTAGAGCAGTGGTTCTCAACCTTCCTCATGCCGCGACCCTTTCATACAGTTCCTCATGTGGTGGTGACCTTCCAACCATAAAATTATTTTCATTGCTACTTCGTAACTGTAATTTTGCTACTGTTATGAATTGGGTGACCCCTGTGAAAGGGTTCTTCGACCCCCAAAGGGGTCACGGCCCACAGTTTGAGAACCCTGTTTTAGAGGATGTTTGAAGACAGACACCCTTGGAAAATAATACTGCCTTGCAGGACAAAGAGGAGCCATGCTTATTGCCTATGATAAAGGATTCTTCCCCCTTAGCTCTCTCTGGTATAACAGTTCACCGTGTGCAGTTGTCATCTTTGTGTGGAAATTGGGGCTTGAGCCACTAAAGCAATAATGGTGGTACTCTGACTGCTGTGATTGCTGGGAATAGTGAAGTGCCCTGTCTCTGGCCTGAGAAGCTTGCATCTTCCTGCAGCATCCATAGAACTGTCAGACTCTTGGACTTGAAAACAGAGAAAAACCTCAGGTTCACATAGTTCATTATACCAGCTCTAATTTTAATGAGCGATTTTTTTTTACAAGGTAGCATGTTTGTTGTCAAGTTGATTGATTTTTTTTAAGTGGCAATAGGATTTATTTTACCATTCTTGAAGATTGATTTGTTAAATAACTAAAGTTTGATTTCTGTTTTTAAAAATCTATGCTTAAAAAAATCTTTATGCTTTTGGTAGTCTTTCATCTACTATGATTGAATTATAATATTTAGGTAATGACTAATGAAAGCTAGAACCTGCTAAAGCCTATGGAACCAATGCTGGGTGTAAGAAGAATCAGATAGCTTCCCCTTCCTATGGATTCAACTCAACTGCCATTGAATCGATTTTGGCTCATAGCAATTCTATCCACTGCCTCTGTGGGTTTCTGAGGCTGTAACTGTTAAGAGACTAGAAAGCCTTGTCTTTCTCTTGCAAAATGGCTGGTGGTTTCAAATTGCTAGCAACCCCATGAGTAACCACTACACCACCAACGCCCATTTCCTGTTGATAGCCATGTGGAATCTCATGCTCCAGTGAAGGATTTCTGTAGCAAAGCTGTATCTAGTTTGGATGCCACTCGCCTTCCCAGGTTGGAGCCCCTCACCTCAATGCCTTCGAGTCAATTCTGACTCACAGCAACGCTCTAGGACAGGGTAGAATTGCCCCCGTGGGTTCCCTAGAGTATAACTTTACCAGCTGGTGGTTTTGAACTGCTGACTTTGTGAACTAAAGCAGCCCGAGGCATAACCACTATACCACCAGGGCTCTATCCAGTTGAATTTGCCAGTCACAAAAGGACAAATACATTACAGGGAAAAGCAAAGACAAAACCAAGATAAAGACTCTCGTACCAAAGGGAACAAACTTTGGAGTTTGCCAAATTGGGGAGAGCAATAAGTGGGTGACACTTCACCCTGGCAGGCACTGGAATGAATCAGAGGTGCTGCAAAAGCAGATGATTGCACTTTCTCCTGAATTCAGTTTTTCATTGTGGTGGGGAAGTTTGCTGAGCAATTCTTTTTCTGAAAAAGGGACACTAGGCCTAATATGTTGGGAACCTATGAGCTAGACAGACAGACCATTCATTGTTAAGTGTTGACTTGGGTAAAGTGGAAGATGGTGGCCCTTTGCAGGGAGAAGGGAAAAGCAGGGGCGGGAGAGGGGTGAGCCAATGGGGGGTGATGAGTAGTGTCTAGACTGGATTGCAAAGTGAATGACCTGAAATGTAAATTCCCACTTCAGTTGGAATAAAAAAAGAACAAAAGTAGTAATAAAGTTTGATTGTAAAGTTTTGACCGTATCTAGTGTGGTTATAGTTCTAATTAGTATTTCTTTTCTTTTCTCCCCTCAGGATTTAAGAGGGGTGCAGACCCTGGAATGCCTGAACCAACTCTTTTGAGGTACTTCTCTTACAAGTTAAAATTTAAGAGCGTGTTAACAAAGCCGGTCATCGGAGAGCAAAAGAACCGTTGTGGTAGATGTTAAAGTGGAGCTTCACCAGCATTCTATCTAGTTCTGGGCTGCTGGAAAACTGCACGTCGATCTTGTGCTAGTACATACGCGCACACACACACACTTGAGAAAACAAGCTTTGTTTGAGTGCATACTAATATGTTCAGATATGAAGGTAGTCAAAAGGTATTGCTACAAAATCATAGAAGCGTTCACTCAACAAAAATATCAAAATGTGAAACTTGTTCCTTAACCATATGCAGGTCTTCACACCCGTGCAGGGGGTGTTTCCATCTTTACCCTGTCCCTGAGGAGTTCTGTGCTGTTTGATCAACACCATGCCTCAGTGACTGCTTCAGAATTCTTGAGGGACTCAAGTCATGTTTCTTTGCAGCATTATTTGAGTTTGGGGAAGAAAAAGAAATTTGAAGGGGCAAGCTCAGGGCTGTGTCTAAACTCCAAACGGATCGGTGCCGACTCAGTGACTAGAGGTAGGGTAGGGGCGAAGTGCCCCTGTGAGCTTCCTCGAGTGTAACTGTGGGGGTAGAAAGCCCCGTCTTTATCCCGTGGAGCAGCTGGTGGCTTGAGTCTGCTTACTTTGCAGTTAGCAGCCCAGTGTGTAACCACTACGCCCGCTGGGCTCCTTAAGATACGTTTCCAATGCATTTCTCTTAGGACAGCCCTTGCTAACATAAAAAATAAGAAGAATAAGCAGGTAGTAGGTGCATTGTCATAGATAAAATTTCTCAGCACGACTTGGCTTTTTTCTCTTCACTGTAGTTTTCAATTTCCGTAAAGCTCCTTCCTGTTAAGCCCCTGTGATTGCTTAGGGAAATTCATCAAGATTGTGTGTCCGTGTCTCACTGCCATTGAATCAGTACTGATTCATAACCACCCCTTGTGGGTTTCCGAGACTGTTTACAGGAGCTGCTAGTGGTTTCAAACTACTGACCATGCAGATCGCAGCCCAACCACACCATCAGGGCGCCCTCTGGAGTTCAAAGAAGTCACTGTAACCTTCTCAGTTGATCTTTGCTTTGAATTGAACTTGCCCAGCAGATCCCCTTGCAAGCCATGGTTTTGAGTGGACCCATTTTTTGTTTTGTTTTTCTTTGAAGGGACCTTAATGAGGCATAAGTCTTACTGAGGGAACCTTCTATAGCTATCCACTGATCACAGAGGTATAGTTAATCATGTGTTGTTTAGAAGAAGCTCATGAACTGGAACCCTGGGATTAATACTTGACTTACTTTTGTGTATGAAGAATCTCAAACACAGGCAGCTTTGCATGTTCTGAAGGAAGGACTGATCTCATGGCATGTGATGCCTGGACCACTGATAGTCTGTGGGGTTTCAGTTTGACTCTCCCTTCTGCCAGACCTCTCTTACACTAATGTTCTAGATTTTAAAGGAGCCTGGTGGCATAGTGGTTACACATTGGACTGCTAACTGCAAGGTCAGCAGTTCGAAACCACCTGTTGTCCTGCAGGAGAAAGACCGGGCTTTCCATTCCCATGAAGAATTGCAGTCTTGGAAACTCACAGGGGTAGTTCTACTCTGTCTTATAAGATCACTGTGAGTTGGCATCAACTCAATGGCAATGAGTTTTTTATTGGGGGTTTCAATTTCTTTAAACTACTCCAAGTCACTTGTATCTACAATCTCCCTTTTAAATGCTTTATATACATTATCTCTAATGATCATGTTAGTCTTTTGGAATAGGGCACACAATCAGTAAGTGCTAGAATAGTTCCACAGCCCACTCTTTCCACTGGGTCATGTGGCCTCTCTTAGATAACCATTCCTCCTATTTTACGTAGCACAGTGCCATGTGATAACACAGTCCCTCTATCCTCTGACATGGAGGCCTCTCTTTTCCCCCTTTTCTCTCTCTCAGAGGTTCCCATATATCCTAACCTACTGACCTGCAGTTCTTCTCTGCTCCCTGTTAAAAGTGTTCAATATATGGTTGGCCATTTAATGCTCTTCACTCCTCTCCCTTTAGCCCTTTCTGGTACATCTTCCTAAACTATTTTTGAAGATTCCCCACTGAGTTTCTTTTTTCTTAGCCCTTAATTCTTTGAGCTGTTTATCTTCTGCATAATGGGAGATGAGGTGGTATGATTCACTGCCATCGAGTAATTCCGACTCTTGGCGACCTGTAGGACAGGGGAGAAATGGCCCAGTGGGTTTCCGGGACTAACTCTTTACGGGAGGAGAAGCCTTCTCGCCTTTCTCCCAAGGTGGTATGAGGTCATGTAAATTGCTAACCGAGTGACTTCAGGTCAGTATTTCCTTAGGGAAATATTACCTCAGAAAATGCCATCAGATCCTACTAGATCAAAGTGTGTGATCATTTTCCAAGCGCTAGAAATTATCAAATAGTACTCCCCCTCCCCCTCCCCCCACCAAAAAAAAAAAAAGATTTTTCTCTTTGCTTTAATTGCCTCTTGTATTGGTTGGGCTTCAGAATGCCTACTTCAGAAGGTTGCTCTGAGGATTGGATAAGAATAGTGTGTGCCAAAGACTCGTAGTACTTACCAAGTACAAGCGATAAACTATTAATAGTAGCTTTGCATTCTTCACCGTGTCATTTCCTTTCCCCGTACTTCCTTTACTTTTGAGTACTATGTTCTAGCCAGATAGGGCGGGTACTGTACTTCCTGGAAGAAACTGTATTGTCCATACGCTGTTTCCTCAGCCCCTCCTCAGTTTCCATTTGATGGGAAGCTTGCTTCTAGAGAAGTCCAGTCCAAATGTTTTCTCTTCCCTACACCCTTTCCCCATTCTCCTAGTTGAAATCATTCCCTTCTTTGTGTGTTCCCGTAGTGCTATTTTGTGTCTGTCATTCTCTCGGCCATCGATTATTATTATGGCTTCCTCACTTACATTTTGTCCGTGAACATCTGAAGTAGCTGCTCAAGAAGTACCAGACCAGTGAAATGGACTTGACTCCTTGGTGTGTTGGACAGGATTGCACAATGTGTGGCACTCCGATGAATAAGGGGGAATCTTAGTAAAATAGTTAGGCAAAATATTTGAGTACCAAGATTAAATAAGAGAGTGATTACTCCCTGTGTTCATACAAGACGAAGGGTTCTTTGTACTTGGCTGCTGAAGAGTTACTTTCATATCGAACCATATCCAGAAGGACTGGAGTTTAATGAGAACTTTAATGCACATTTGAAAATTGGAAATAAGATGCATGACCTTTTTGTTTTTGCTTTTTTCTTCTAGCCAGACATAAGTAAAATACTTTATGAAAATGAACTCTACAGAATGCTGTAATTGTAATTTTGTAACACGGTTTTATTAATTGGACATAGTAGAATATCTTTTTTAATCAGCAGGAGTTAGAATTGAAAACTTTTTTCCCCCGCCTTCCTGGATTTTGTTCAGATTCAGCAAGTGATTTGGGAACTTATGCTAGTTTTATATAAGTTGTGTGGAGACTAATTACTCCTGGGGTGAACTAATTTTCCCATGTATTATGGGTAAGAACACCTGGGTTACATGGCCCTCCCCAAATAAACCCACTGCCATTAAGTCAATTCTGACTCATGGTGACCCTGGGGCAGAATAGAGCCTGCCCCCTTTGGGTTCCCAAGACTTTACATATTTACAGGAGCAGGTAGCCTCATCTTTCTCCTACAGGGTTACTGCTGGGTTTGAACCACTGTGACACTGTTAGCTCAGTGCCTAGCCCTCTGTATGACCAGGGCTTCCTGCTTAGCTTAAGGGCCTCCTGTCACAGCCTTATCTACATCTTTAAAGTAGGAATCATAATTGGGAATTGTGGTAAACATAGTGCCTGACCCATAGAAAGTATTTGATAACTATTTAACTGTTAGTGATACTCACTAATAATGATAACAACTTGATTTTCTGGCTGCTTCATTTCTTGCGTTAAAAATAGATATATGTATATATATTAATTGTGGTGAATATATATGTAGCAAAACATTTGACATTTCAACGGTCTTCACATGTAGGGTTTGACAATATTATTATGCTCATCATGCTGTTCAATCATCACTCTTACTCATTCCCCAAATGAAACCATCACTCTTATCAGACACTGTGTGCTCCCCTAAGCATTGAATCTTCCTTTATGATGATAAACTTTGGCCTCCATATTGTTTGTCTCCTATAGCTATTTTGTGTACCGGGGAGCCTGTAATATTTGGCCTTTTATGTTAAGCTAGTCATCTATCTCTTAATTAACTCCATTTTAAATATTATCATTTTCTTCTTGTTTATAATAGGTACCAACACTCAAAAAGTTTAATAAAATTGTAAATACAATTTTGTATGGTTGACTTTTTACTAAATGTGGTTAATCCTTATTGTCTAGTAATTCCAAAAATGGATCCAATTTGGTAGACAAGTAAACATAAACAACAGTGTATGAAATCTTGGGGCCTTAAACTAAATTTAGAAGAAGCTTTGTATTTGTGGGTTTAATTTGTTTTTCCTCTTCACAAACATAGCCTGCTTTGGGGCTGAAGGGCCGTGTGGTCACCTGGGCTTGGAAGCCGTCCATGGCTGCGAAAGCATGGACCGTGTGCACTCCGGCTGGAATAAGAAGGAGGACGTCGCCGAGACAGTCACTGCTTGGACGGCACAGGGCTCTTCACTGGGGCATCTGTAACAGACTGTGATTTATGATGTCAGAATGTACCAGAATAAATATTTCTAGCAATCTTCTGCCTCCAGTCCTTTTTGACTTGAACATGTGACTACCAAGTACAAATTAAGCCCTGCACTATGTTTCTTAAAACAAGAGTATGCCTGTGGCTAGATGGTACCTTACGAAATAAGAAAATTCCCAGTGAATTCCTATCGGCTCAGTGACTAGATTCTGTGTTTACTCCCTCAAGGTTGTAATTGGTGGTAGAAGGAGAGACTGCTCTCATGCTTGGACAAGCTTCTGCTTGTAGCAAACAGGGACCCCAGTAGCTCTGTTGCATAGGGCACCACATTGGCAAGTTATCAATTCAATGTGAGTTTAGATTTCCCTCATTGTTGATAGACTACATAGAGGTGCCTTGTGGGGAGCTACTTGGGATTAGTAGCTCTTTATAATTTCAGATAGAAAACAAGGTAGTTATTGGGAACTAGTTTTTAGTTCTAGGTACTGCCTTCTTGAGACTTCACATTGGAAGCCTAGTTTTATTTAGCATTTTACATTTCTCTCACAATGACACCATGTACTTGGGTTTGGGAGTTAATGTGAGAAATTGGAATCTGAAACAAGGGCCGCCACAGTTCAGGTGGGCCCAGTGAGCTGCTACTTAGAGCACGCAGTGCTGAAGGAGAGATCCAGGCAGTAACCCCTCTCAGGTGGCTGGCCCTCTCATTCCCAGGAACTTCTTCCTACTACTGCTGTGAAAGTCTGTTAGCTCCGGAAGCCCCTTTCCCCAGTGTTGTTACCATTGCCATGGAGACTGAGAAACCATTGTAAAAGTTTATTGCATAAGAGGATTTTAAAGTGGAGTTCTGGAGCGCTAACTGCAGGAAAACCATTTTCAATAAGTACTTAATGTAATCGTGTCAATATCCCTGTCAATCTAGGTACCTCATTTTGCTAAAAGCCCGTCTCCAAGGATTTTAAAAACCTCAAAATTGCCGTACATTTCCGGCTCCCCCACTCTATCCCACCCTTTCTGTTAGGGTGTTGCCAGTGGGTTTTTGTTTAGTCTTGGTGCACATTTTGCTTCCCTTTCTCACATGATTTTCAAGTGGGGAAAGTAAAGTGGTGGCAGGTAATGTATGTCATTTTGAGAAGCAAAATAGTAATGCGAGAGTCAACAATTGGTTTTGTGGCATTTTAGGAGTTACCTTGTAGCTTCCTGGAAAAGCTCAAAAATTTTTAAAAAATCATTTTATTAGGGGCTCATACAACTCTTATCACAATCCATACATACATCAATTGTATAAAGCACATTTGTACAT